TCCTTCTCCTTCTCCTTCTCCTTCTCCTTCTCCTTCTCCTTCTCCTTCTCCTTCTCAATATAACTTTTTAAAAACAGCCATCCTGCCTGAAACACTGAGCAGGTTGGAATACAAATGTATGTCAAGTGGCATTTCACTGGTAGGTATAAATGTCTGCCTTTCCATCTGATCAGCCAAGAGGCTTGTTCAGCACATGATCCAGTGCCCATTTTGGGGGCGATTTCTCATACTCAGAAGTTTGATCACCTTTGTCTTTTTTAAATGGAATAGAGTTTGGCTGCATTCACACAACACATCGACCTTGGCTTAACAGAATATGACTGCTGTATTCACATAACCTGATACACTCAAGCAAACTCTACTATGGCATCATATGATGCCCTGATTCACACAACATGCTAAGAAAGCAGCTGGACTGAAATGAAAATAACCCAGTGTGACTGTAGCATATTCTAGTATGCTGTGTAAACCCAGTCCATATTTCTGAATGCCTTTTACCAAAAAGAAGGTGCCTTTTTGTATGTTCTTATGATCTGCCTTCACGTGATCTTCAGAAGATTTATTTCCACATAATGAGCCTAGGCCATCTTGTTGAAGTTGCATGAGGAATAGTGTCCCTCACAGTCACACAGCTGAATTGAATTATCATTACTTCTTTCATAAAAGCATCCAGAACGCTCACCTCTTCAATTTGGCTGGGCCCCAAAATGTTGGTATTAGTTTGAAAAATTAACAGGTCAGCTTTTACATTTCCTCAGTTGGGACTTCTGGCAAGGAAATGAATCAGTGGTTTCTTATCCTGTCCTTCATATTTTTGCATTTGATGTAAAAGTATTATTAACACTTAGTTGTCCTGCCCTTATTCAGGACAGTGTGTATACTACAATTTAAAAAAGAAGAAAAGAAGTCAAAATTCTACCTCAAGGAAAGTAAATGTGAGAACTGCATAGATTGTATAAATCAAAACAGGCCAGCCTAAATTGCACACATCAGAAAAATGAAAAGATAGTGGTCATCTTGTGGCAAAGAATAACCCTTATAACTGTATATTGAGTGAAGATAATACATTCCTAGGAAAATGCAGCCTGTGGTATGTTGGATGGGGATGTATGGACATAATTATTATACATTATCTCTAATTTGGATATTGTGTTCAGTATTGCATGAACTAGCCTATTCAAATTTGTGTCCTCCATATTTCTTCTCTGGCTTTGCTTCACAGAAAAGATCGGAAGCCTCTCCAAGTTTTAAACCAGGTGTGGAACATCTGGCTTTCCAGATGTTGCTGAACTAGAGTTTCCAGCAGCTGCAGGCAGCGTGGTTAGTGGTGAGAAAGGCTGGGGATGCCGAAGCCCATAGGTTCCACCACCCATGTTAAATTAGCAAGCTTGTTTTTCAAAATGGACTACTAGAGGAATCTGTTCAGTTTCTATTTTCAAGAACACCAGTGTGTTTTCATACCCTAGTCTGCATCATGAATTCAAAACTCATTTTCTTTCCATTTTCAGTCTTGTGAAAGTTGTGATACAGTTCTCCATCCAAAGCAATAGCCAAGTATTATTTAGACTTGAGGCCAGCATGCTATAAAGACATATAGTTTTGAGGGAGGAATAATGTGAATATTTATGTATTTGTTAGACTAATATCCAGGATCTCAAGGTGGTTTCCATGGCAATCCCTGTGCGGCAGGCTAGGCTGAGAAGGAATGTGACTGACCCAAAGTCAGCTAGTGGGTTTCCATGGCTGAGAATGGACTTGAACCCAAGTCATTCTGGTCCTAGCCCAACATATCCAATAATCTGTGTATAATCATCATGTTCTGAACATGTAAGTTCTGACTGATCTGACATTAGAGGTGGCAGTTTCTTCCTGTAGTCTGCATGTTTTATTTTCTACGCTGAAGGCTGTCCATAAAGAAGATTCTTGGAATCCTGATGAAAATAGAAAATTGCAGCAAAAGCTTCCAGTGATGTGAGAGATCTTTGCAGAAGCCTTGAGTGTAAGAGCATGCACGCATGTGCCCTTGATAAAAAATTCTTAGCTGTAAGCTAAACACTCAGTTGAAGCCAAGCTTCATAGAGACATCCACACAATTATTTCCTTAATAATGGCTCTGGTTATTATTTTTGTTATTTTATTTTAATCAGCTTATTCTATGTATATCCTGGACATTGTAATTCCCGTGTACTGTGGATATTTGAGTTGAGTATTCCTTGTTAACCACCAGGTCTCCTAATAGATTACAGCGGTATACCAATATGATTAATTAATAATTTTATTGGCCATGAGACAGAAGTGGTTTGCCAATTGCGGCCTTCTGGAATGTTTCCTGAACTTCACAGTCTAACCCACAGCCTGTGGTTTTCTAATCGTCTCCATTCTGTACTAACCAGGTTTGACTGAGCTTAGGGTTCTTTTGAAATCAGTGAAAAGGGAGCAAAATATTTGCTGTAGCTGCTGGAACTGGGAACTGAGAGATTAAAAATGGACAGAAGAGGAAATCTTTTCTGGCGCAGGAAACATTGACCTTGGACCGCCTTTCATTCTCCAGTGTAGCATCCTGATGACCATATCATCTTTCTTAAAGGAACTTCCTTCTTTGCTTGTCGTAACATCACCTGTTGAACATGGACTTAGCTTTGATTATGGCTTTCCTAATAGTAACATTTTATTCTTTCCAACTCTGTCTGTTAGCCACTGATATTTTTGGAACTTCAACAGACATACTTCCCCAGCTGATAATCTGAGACATCTGTCAAAAGTGTAAGAAAAAATTCTTCTCTGTGGCCACTCTTAAGCTTTACATCTTCTCACTGAGGCTTCCTTTCTGTTCTTTTTTTTTTACTTTAGGTAGAGACCCTTCTATTTCAGGAGACAAACCTTTGTCCTGTTGAGAACCAACAGTTGCAGTTTTTGTTGTATCGAGGCCTCTTTAAAGGTTTTCATCCTATAATTTTTATCTGCTTTTGCTCTTTAGTATGAGATGCCATGCGCTAAATAAATTTGCTCTTTAGGCACTGATATTTAATTGTGGGTTGATATGGTTTCACTTCCATTGTTTTAGGTGTTGAGTCGCCTCGGGAGGCCAGCACAGAAGGTGGATTGAAAATTTGAACTGTAAAATAGGAAAAGTGAAGACAAAAATGCATGTTTCCCAATTTATGTTTCTCTGTGTGTGTATGTATGTGTATTTGTGCAATGAGATGCTGCTTTCCTGAGAAGCTCTCCTTTTTCATGTCATTATAGGAGGTTATGGAATACTTCATCTTAGCACACAGCGCATCAATCAAGAAGCAACAAAGAAATCTATGAAATGCCTGTGAAATCTGATCTTTGGGAGACAGTTCTAGGCGTGGCACGTTTATAAAAATAGACTTTGGGATTGTGGGTCACAATGCAAAGGCTCTGCGTTCTTTTCCGATAATTTTTGGCCCCGCTCTGCACATATTTTTATCCGTAGACAGCAGCCAAGTAGAGTCAAGGGTTGGGAAAGAGAGCCAGTGGGAATTGAAGTCCTTCTCATGAAATGATATGGTGTGGTGAAAAGAGAGAAGTGCACTTCACTTGAGAGACCGTTCCAGATTTTAGTGGAGTGGGTATCAGCCGTCTTCTGAAACTCTCAACCGTGTGAGTCGACAGAAAAACGAAGCCGGCGGATTAAGTAAATTCTCATCCATCAAACAGAATGAGAATAGTTCAATTCAGTTGTTCAATGGAATGATAATTATTGGGGGGGGGGGGCAGAAGCATTTTCCTAGGGCACTAAAGCAGTTCCAGATATCTTTCTGATACTTAAAACTGGGAAGCGGGTATTAACATTTCATTATATTTAAAGATGAATTGCCAGTGTTCGTTGATGTAGAGAGTCACGTTCCCTTCTGGCTTTCAGATCAGCCCATAACTTTAAAGTTCTAAATGACACAGGGCAGAAGAACCAAAACCATGTTATAATTCTTCAGAACTGCTTTCCATGTTGAATGGCCAGCAACCAGAAAAGAAACCTTTTTCTATGCTAGCGCATAACACATTTCTTTCACCAGATATAGTCATTTGGCACCATCTGTCTTATCATTAAGGCATCTGTTGCATCGTATCCTGGCACATCATGTTATTGCTGTTATTTGAAAACTCTTTTTTTTTTCCAGCTGATTTCAACTTTTAATCTGCTGGCTCTGCTGTTTCTATTTGTTTCTTTTTATTCGTTGTTGCTTAGGTCAGTGCGTTTTCCTCTTTTATAATCTGCCAGAAAGCCATTAGCTAGATGATGTTGTTATAAATATTAACCTGGGGGGAAAAAAATCCTGCTCCACTTTTGAAGTGCCACCCATTTTCCTGCAACTCCCCCAGTCCGAAACTGGGCACAACTTTCCCGAAAAAGCAAGCATGGCTCCAGAAGGGATGAGAGCGTAGGCAGCAGGGATAAATCTCCAGCTTGCTCAGGCTGGATGCAGAAACTCCGGGTCAGTCTGGCCTCTTGGTGCAAAGAGGTTGTTTTGACTGCTAGGGTTGGCTTGCCCTTCTGTTAGCCCAGAGGTGGGACGTCCGTCATTCGCTTCCCAGTTGGACTGCTGCAATGCACTCTACGTGGGGCTGCCTTTGAAGACCTAGAAGTTACAACAGGTGAAAACTATGGCAGCTCATGCAGTGTTGGGCACCCCTTGGTTTTGCCAGGTTACCCCATTGCTACACGTGCTGCATTGGCTCCTAGTCTCCTTCCAGGTGCAATTTGTGTCACCTTGTGTGAGATGGGCAGCTATATAAATATGATGAATGAATGAATGAATGAATGAATGAATGAATGAATGAATGAATGAATGAATGAGTAAGGTGCTGGTTATTACCCCTAAAGCCCTAATGGCACAGGGCCAAGTTATTTGCAGGACCGCTTCTCCCTGAGTGTATCTGCCTGTTCCACCAGATTAGATAGAATGGGCGTGCTTCTAGGTCCCTTCCCTTAAATGTTGCCATCTACTGGGACCTAGGAAACAAGCTTTTTCCATGGCAACTTCTAAACTGTGGAACATCCTTCCCCTTGGGGTCCAGCAGACCCCCACCCTTTTAGTCTTCCAGAAAGCCATAGAAAGGGCCAGTCATGATGGAGGTGATGGACTAGATGCCTGGTTTTCTTGTTTTCATTATTTTTAACTGTTTGTGGTTTTATTATTGTTGCGAGCCACCCAGAGTTGTGTTTTATAAGATGGGTGGCGATATAAAACATTTAAATAAAATTAAACAAACCAGCCACCTCTGGAGTGCCATCTGCTGCTTACTCCCTTGACTTGAGGACCTAAGCATCCTTGAGCAGGCAAGTAACAAAATCCACGATTGACAAATTTGCATCTGATATCAAGATGCATGCATGAAAGGGTAGGGTGTGTGTCATGGTGATGCTGCATATGGCATTTTCTTTTTTTCATCATCACAGCTAGCAATGGCTCTTCGTGCTTCTGGAGGCCTTCCCATGGCACAGTGATGTCACCCGAAGGAGCAGCGTTGGACATTTTCAGTCTAATTTTCAGTCTATGGGTAGTTTTAAGAAAGAGAATAGGAGTGATTAATTTTACAGGTTTCTTTGAGGTTGCTTTTAGAAATCCATTTTTCACCTCTATTTTATTGTCAGCAAACATTTTGAGTTCATTTTTGATGGAAATAAGGGCTGCAAATTGAAACAAAAATGTAGTTTTTTCTTGTTTTGTTTCCTTTTCTCACCCCAGGCTGACGATCTTGTAATCATTCCATCTACCACGTTGAAGGAGAAGCCAGACCCAAAGGGCCTGGTGTTTGGAACAGTTTTCACAGACAACATGCTCTTCATCGAGTGGTCTTTAACTTCAGGATGGGAGGTTCCTCAAATCAAGCCCTTAGAGAATCTCTCTGTGCACCCAGCCATCTCAGCATTGCATTATGCTGTAGAAGTGAGTACAGCAACAGAATGAAGAGAAACTCTTCATCCTTCATCTTTGTCATTAAATTAAAAATCCTGTTCTTGTCTTTTATAAACCATGCTTCTTTTTGTTTCAGGTCAGTGCAAAGGCTCCAAAGGGTAATCTTTCCCAACATTCTCCAGTTGCATTGGAGTTTAATTTTCATCATTCCCATCCATCATGGCTGGCTAGAAATGATGGAAGTTGAACACATCTGGAGAACATCAAGTTTGGAAAGAGTGATGATTGATAGAGAGGGTGAGGAATGAAAAGTGAATGGATAAGGCCCAGATTTTGAAGATAGTTGTGCTGATCTGCATCTTCCCCAGGAATAGGTAATTGAGGGAAATGTTTGATGTTCTCCCACTCCCGCTGTCCCTCATTGGCTTCCACTTACAGGTGGTAAGGAAATGCCAGTGCAGTGTCACATCATTTAAAAAAATGCAATTGTTGGAGATACATCAGTCATCAGAACACACACATCACACTTTAGCTTACACTCTTCTCCTGAGATGCCAGTAAGAAGGCATTGTTGATGGTTTAAACATCACACTAAACCTTAATTTGCTCAAACATGGTTTTCTTGAATGAACCAACACTGTGTTAAGCAACAATCACAGGTTACAAACCACAGTGGTTGGGTTTGCAAGACATATTAACTCCAAACCAATCCTCATTATGGTTTAGTACAGTGTTTGAAATTAGCCAAGAAATGTCCAAGGTAATCACATTTATTCTCTGGTTGGTCAAATGGCCAAAGAAAAATTTGTGATGCTCTTTCTTCATTCATGACAGCTATTTAAGGCTCTTGTGGTTTATTACTATAGCAGCCAATATGTAATGTTTATTTCATGGCCGATAGTGTGACACTGGGGATGCAAATGGGGACAACTGTTAGAGTTTATCATTACCCCAAATGCAGTTCTTCACAACTGCAATATCAGTCAAGGCATTAAATAAGAATGTTACTAATCAGAGAAGAAGCAAATTCTGGGAAATACACTTCATCTTCCTTAATATACAATAATTCTGCACGCATATGACAGGAAGCCTTACCCTTTCTTTCACATTATTTATAGGGACTTCCCATTGTCTCTTCTTGATTCCCAGTTAATGTTAATTCTATTCTTTTATTCTTGAGATAAGAGTACAACTGTGAATGTCCCTATCAACTATTCATCTGGATCCATCCCCTGGCCTATTTTATGTTGTAAATTGATTGAAGTGTATGATGATGATTTAAGTTCTCTGATATGCACGTTGTAAAACCAGTAGGTGAACATGCTTAGGTAATGTGGGCATGATGAATTTATTTTATTTTGTTTATTTATTTACAGTATTTTTAAACTACCCCATTCAGTTAAGATTCTGTATGGGGTACAGCAAAGCAAAATAAAACACAAAAGAATTAAACCAATCATTCCAGTAAACCAAGAACTCTAGTAAATCTTAACCCCACTATTCATGGCTGCTTATCTGAGGTTTTACACTAACCATGCCACCTAAACCAGGAATGGCTGCTATTTTAAGTTTGTGGAAACTAGAATTTGTAATCTGTGATAAGCCTTGATTTCAAATTCTGGTTTCTGAATAAAATGGAGGCATTTTGGGTTCAGATATTATAGGCCTTTCATTAAAGACCTGCTACCCTTAATGAGACTTTTTGGTTTAGCGTGTCGTGCACTCTGTGATTTAAGGCTAATTCACACTTATACACCCATCATTTGCAAAACTGGAGTACTTACAGATGAAATGGGTCGTTTCCAGCAGAAAGTATTGTGTTTGCAATGTAGTGAATGTGCTATTTATCATGTTTGGTCATAATGGCCTATCTGTATACAAGTTATCATTCAATGCTGTGGGTACTAGAAAATAAAGCAAATTTTGAATGAGCTTTTGGCCTCTCTGCCCAAGCAGACTGCATATGCCAGAAAGCAAGTTACCACATGCACTGAAGTGACTAGATAGCCACCAGAAGCCAGCGTGGTTAACGATCAAGGTGTTTAGGGCCCAAAGTTTCCAAATCTTAGTCCAAAACACCAACACAGGGTTATATTCCATTTGTGTCAGAGCCTTAGTCAAGGGCACGTTTTGGGTGCCAGAAAGCTTGAGGAGAAAACGTGGGGCAATTCTTCCAAACCCCTTTATTTTTCATCTCCCTCTCTTGCAGTGTTTGTAACTATTAAAAGACTTAATCTCAATAATTAAATTATTAAACACAACCTTATTCAGAGTTCTGTACTTCTGGTGTTTTTCAAAGGTGGTGGTGGCAGTGGGGAAGAGAATCTGGACCCCCAGCCCCCTTTTTGCCCCCTTAACCTCTCTGAGTTTGGGAAGACTCCATGGGGATTTTTTTCATTCCTTTCTGTTTTGATTGATTTGTTTTAAGATATTTATCTTGCCTTTCAAAGGCCAATATTGTGATATTTTTCAGCCTTCCTGGGTGAGGAGATCTAGATGTATTTGGGGCTTGGTCTTTTCCCAAGGAGCAGAGGAACCACGCTGGAATTTTTAGGCATTTGTCTCTCTCTCTCTGAGTAGCATTACTGCTGTACAACCCATTATCTGAAATCCTTGCTGCTAACAATGAATATGCTCTTCTTTCTTTTTGTTTCCTCATCTGCATATTTCCCCCCATTGTTTTCATTTTTATTTCCTTTTACCCTTATTGCATCACGTTTCCTCTAGCCAAGAGGAGTGACAGAGGCGAAACTGCTCCAAATGCTATGGCTCAATGAATACACAGTGGGTATAACACAAGATGAAATGTTCCTTCCTTGTGATCTGTGACTCCTCAGATAATCTGGCCTCTGCCAGTTGGTGGATGGTCTAGTTGAGTCTTCCTCAACTTGGGCACCCTCCAGATGTGTGGGAACTAGACTTTTCTAGTTGGCGTGTCCAGTTCTGGCAGTGGAAGTCTACACAGCCGGAGGACGGCCAGGTTGGGAAAGGCTGGTCTAGCTGTGTGTTGTACAGACCAGTTACAGAGATCAAATGATGATGATTGTTCTAGTGTTTATTTCTGGGGATCCATCAGTTACAAAGTTAACTAAGACTTGACAACACTGTAATGTTGCTAAAACAGATGAGTCTGCTCACAAAGAGAGATCATGTGCTAGACATGAACAGCCGGAAGCAGCAGTTGTCCACAGACTTCTGAAAGTCTAACCAAAGTTCTTGACCAAGTTGAGTAGGTTGGGATTGCTACTGAGTAGGCATTACCTGAAAAGTTGTAATACAGAGAGCCAGTGTAGTGTAGTGGTTAAGGTGATGCACTAGATATGGGGAGACCTGGATTCTAGTCCACCTTTAGACATAGAAGCTCACTGGGTGACTTTGGGCCAGTTGCTCTCTCTGAGCACAAAAGCCAGTGTAGTAAAGTGGAGAAGGTCCTGGACTAGAAGTGAGGAATACCCAGGTTCTAATCCACCCTCAGGTGCAGAAATTCCCTGGGTGACTCTGGGCCAGTCACTTTCTCTCAGCCCAACCTACCTCATAGGGCTGCTGTTGTGGGGAAAAATAGGAGGAGGAAATACAATGGTACCTCGGTTCACAAACTTAATTCGTTCCGCGACTCTGGTCGCGACCTGAATTGGTTGCGACCCGAATTGGTCGTGACCCGAATCAAATTTTCCCATAAGGTTCAATGTAATTATGGTTAATCCATTCTGAACCATATGTTTTGGTTTTTTTTAAGCCACAAAAATATGACACAAAGTACAGTACGAAGAGAGAGAACGCTAACCTTGCTCGACGCGACTTCTGGCGTGGAGGACAGGAAGGCGGGGGGGGAGGAGGTTATTGCGTGGAGTGAGAGTCCCCCTCCCTACAGGAAGCCACGACCATGTGTCACGGCAGGGAAAATGGCCGCGGATCCTGTTCGTCACCCGATCTGGTGTTCGCGAATGGAAGCAAAATTTTGCGAGCAGTGCTGTTCATGACCCGAACTGGTCGTGAACAGAAGCGTTCGTGACCCGAGGTACCACTGTACTATGTATGCCGCCCTGGGTGCCTGAATAAAGGAGGGATATGAATCTAATAAATAGACAATTAAATGAGTAGTGACAATTTCACATGCAGCTCATAAACTGATCTCACTGCATTCAGTGGAGCGTATTTTCAGAAAAGTGGCTATAAAATAGTAACCTAAGGAGGAATGCTATTGAAGGAGTACAAAGAGGGTTGGTTGAAATTAGGGGTAAAACATTTAGGAATATATTTTGGGTCCTCTCTGAGGGTGCATTGGCCGATCACATCCCCCCAATTAAGGTAGTTCAGCCTTTTGGAAAGATTGTGGAGACCTCTAAGACAGGGGCTGTTCACAAGTATGGCCTCAAGTTTTTTTTTACCCCATCACTATCTCTGAGACACCAAAACAAGACCTTTTAAAATGATAGGTTATTCAGATGCTCAGGGATTTTCTAACTATCACTCTTTTCAGTGTAAAAAGATTTTCAAAATAATAAAACGTTTCCTAAAGTGGGGGGGGGGGGA